TCCGACTCGTCCCTCTGGCTCCGTCAGGCTCCTTCATCCCTTCGGCTCCTCCTCAGTCCTCTGTCGCTCCGGCTCCACCGTGGCCTTTCGGATCCACGCCTCCGCATCAGTCGCTGGCGCCATCTGCTCCGCCTTGGCCCTCTGGATCTTCCCTCCGTCGGCTCCACCGTGGACTGCCATCATGGCTGTGGCCTGGGTCTTGCTTGGCCCCTCCTGCTCCAAGTCCTTCCTGTTGCCTCCCTGGTTCCTCCCTCCATCGTCACCACCCTGGACTCTGTCTGCCGGCCCCCTTCCGGGTGTCCGTCCTCCTCCCCTTACCTCCTCCCAAGTTCCCACCCGTGCCCCCCCTCTGTTGTTATACGGCGCGAGGATGCACCTTCCGGGAGGGGGGTGATATGTCACGCCCCTGGACTCATTCTGTGTGTTTTTCCCTCTCTGCATGCTCCATGACCCAGTTTTCCTATGTTAATTGTTTCATTTGTTCCAGGTGTGTGTTGTCAATTACCCCATGTATTTAAGGTCCTGTCTGTGCTTTCTGAGTTTGTCCGGTATTGAATGTTCATCTTTCCCCGCTACGTGTGTGTTCCTAGTTCCGTTGGATGTTTATTAAAGTCTGTTTTTGTGAAGTCTACTCCACGTCTCCTCGTTCCTCGCTCCGTGCTCCTCACAGTAGCGGTTCGTGACATTTGTGTGCATTTGGCGGAAAAGGAAACTTTCTTAAATAAATAAAATGTATCTATCTACCTATCTCTCTAATTTATTTAATTATTTATATTTATTAATTATAATAATTATATTTAATTTAACAATGCAATAATTTGCTGTAAAGGAATGATTTCATTTGCATTTTGTTTTATTTTAAAAGATTAAATAGTTGGATTTTTGAAGATAAAATTGTATTAAATGATAAAACTGAATTTAGAACAATTAAAACAAATAACAGAATTTTGGAAAAAATAAAATAAAAACAATACAATGAAATATACTGTATGTATATAAGTGTTGCAATAAATTATTATTCATTATTTTACATTTGAATAATTATTACATTTTACATTTTTTGATTTGAAAGGTTTTATGAATTAAATTGATTGACATGCTTTTTTTATCTAATTTAATTAAACCAATAAAACCAAATCCAGAAATAGAAACAGAAAACCCAGAATTTTAGGAAAAACATATAGCCCTGTATGCAATATGATTTTATCCGATTGACTATTATCCAAAGAATATTGTTTGATAGGAGGGATTCATGATGTCATCAGAAAAGGAAAGTCGTTTCAGAGGTGGAGCAACACTACAGAGAAACTGTTTTGTGTTTTTGTATAAAAAGCACTGATGGTTTGTGCTCATTGAGACCAGGAGCGAGTCTGAAGACAATAAACCAGGTCAGGAGTGATTTACTGTCACTTTAAGTCGATGAAATGCAATTTGGAGGCAGTGAAGTGAATCTGAACGCGCAGGTCATAATGAACTTACACACAAACACCATCATTACTATGAAAAACACTGACAATAACGCACTATTCATTTCACGCTGGCTGGAATTTTATTTTCCAGATTTTCTCAGGCTCTGGTTTTATTACAGCAATATAAAGAATAATTTCATTCAGATTTCACATCATAATAATTATCTGCCGCCGTCTTTGCTTACAGTTCCGTTACTAAACGAGTCAAAGAAACACAGCAGGCACAAATAAAATTAACACCGCATGCAGTTACAAAACAAACCCACACAATCTCAAAATAAATGAGGTATCAGATTATTTTGCGTAATTAAACAGACTGCAGCACATTCAACTGCAAAAGAGTAACTGCAAGTTTAAATACTCACTTCAAGTTTTATTTAATATTTACATATGTATTGAAATTGGTTTACTGTATGTTTTTTTCATATTTCAATACACATGAAGTAGAGGACCATTGTCATATTGTGCCGATACTAAAAAAATCAACATAGTGAATATGTTAAATAATGTTCTTAGTCTTTCTTTCCTGTGATGGGGCAGATTTTATGCATAATGAAGGCCTTTTAATCACTTTCAATCATGTCTGAGATACATTGTGACTCTTTATTTTGAAATGTTTGCACTATACTACTTCCAGCAGGTCGTTCAAAAAGATGAGAGAAATATGGGAACCAAAGAATTAATAATAACAAAAAAATTTATAATACTGGATTTTTAATCATAAACAAGCCTGAAATACACAGGGAATCTTAATTTGCAATGTCTATGCTTTACTACTTTAGCTGCTCATTCAAAAAGGCGAGAGACATGAAATATGCATATTCTAATATAAAACCATAATGTAAACATTGTCAATCGTAAGCGATCATTAGGCATGAATGTGTGGCATTCACTGATTGTGAACTGGGCACAAATCAAGCACAAATAAAATAAGTTTTATTTAAAGCCCCAAAACTGTTTCTCTGTAGTTTTGCTCCGCCTCTGAAACGACTTTGTTTTTCTGTTTTTCATCAATGCCTCTCATAAAACTGTCATAAAGAGACACAATGGATAATTTCGCCTCTCATATACAGCCATATGAAATCTGTTTGACTTTCTCCCAAACTCTGTGTTTTCTGTTTCGATGATATTTCTGGATTCTGGTTTAACTGTTTAATTAAACTGTAATAATCAAAAAGCATGTCTAATCAATTTAATTCATAAAACATTTAATATTTAAAAAATAATAATTACATTTAAAATAATTCATTAAAATGTGAACAATAATAGGGCCATATGAAATTACTTTTTTCTAAATTGTGATCCTGGAGCACAAAACCAGCCTTAAGTCGCTGGGGTATATTTGTAGCAATAGCCAACAATACATTGTATGGGTCACAATTATAGATTTTTCTTTTATGCCAAAAATCATTAGGATATTAAGTACAGATCATGTTCCATGAAGATATTTTGTAAGGTTCCTACTGTAAATATATCAAAACTTAATTTTTGATTAGTAATATGCATTGCTAAGAACTTCATTTGGACAACTTTAAAGATGATTTTCTCAATATTTAGATTTTTTTGCACCCTCAGATTCCAGATTTTCAAATATTGTTCTATCCTAACAAACCATACATCAATGGAAAGATTATTTATTAATCTTTCAGATGATGTATAAATCTCAATTTTGAAAAATTGACCCTTATGACAGGTTTTGTGGTCCAGGGTCACAATTATACTTGAATTTTCCCAAATTTAGTATTTTCTGTTTTCAGTTTTCTGGATCCTGTGTTTTATGATTTAATTAAAAAATGAATTTGCTCAAACCAAATGTCAGATGTGTCAAGGCCTGTCTGGAGAGGATCTGAACTCACTTGCTCTTCCCTTTGTAGACGGTGGCGTAGGATCCCTCGCCGAGCTTCTCCAGCTTCTCGTACGAATCTGCTTTCCCGAACTTTGGGCTCGTGGGCTGAAACAGAGCAGAGAGAGACGCTTTTATTACAGGATCCGTGTGTCGCCGCAGCAGATGTGAGGTCAGCTGGGGATTCTGGGTCAGATCCGGGATTCTTCCAGCAGGAAGTCTCTGTATTAACGAGCCTGTGCTGTTTAACTGGAGCTGATGAATTGCTTCCTGTTAAACAGGAAATGAGCTCTGCAGGCTTTTACTGTGAGCGCTTTGAGTGCAGGTGAACTTTACTACAAAAAAACTCCAGTGGGTCTCATTCACTAACGCTGAATGAATCTGTGCAAGAAATTAATGCTTTTATTCATCAAGGATGCATGAAATTGATCAAAAGTGCCAGTAAAGACATTTATAATGTAACAAAAGATTTCTGTTTCAAATAAATGCTGTTCTTTTGAACTTTCTGTTCATCTGTGAATCCTGGAAAAAAAAATTAATCACAGTTTCCACAAAAATATTGTGCAGCACAACTGTTTTCAACATTGATAATAATAATAAATGTTTCTTGAGCAGCAAATCAGCATATTATTATGATTTCTGAAGATCATGTGACACTGAAGACTGGAGTAATGATGCTGAAAATACAGCTGCGCATCACAGAAATAAATTACAGTTTAACAGATATTCACATAGAAAACAGCTGTTTTACATTGAAATAATATTTCACAATTTTTACTGTATTTTTACTTTTACATTTTAACATACATACATCATATAAGACACTAATTTTAATTTGAAGAGGAAACTGGTTAATTTTTGTGCCGTTTTCATCTTCATCAGGATGTGACGTTTTCTAACACCTGTATTACACTGGTGACTCATCTGTGTCTCATAATTATTCATGAGAATGCGTGTCTTCATCCAATGAGAAGATGCTGCTCTTAATTATTCATGACAGCATGTGTTAATTTCCTATTACAGAAGCTTCAGACTGTGAGATCACCTACAGTAAGAGACATGTTCTTAGATCAAAAGTGAATGCTTGTTTTCGCTTTATAAGAGTAATAAAAACTAATTAACATTTTAAAAATAATTTAAAAATTAAATTAAATACAAATAATACAATTAATAAATTATATAATCATATTAATATTTTACATTAACAATAATAATAATAATAATCTTTATTTTCTATAGCGCCTTCAAATGTTATATCTCAAAGAGCTTTACATAAACAAATAAAACATCAAAATACACCATATAAAGATTATAAAATAAGCAAAAAAAGGAAACATGCATTCAAAACACTTAAAAATAAAATAATATTAAATTAATATAAAAATTCAAATAAAAGCTACCCTAAAGAAATTAGTTTTAAAAATGTTAAGAGATTTCGCTTGCCTTATTTTTTTATTTTAAAAATAAAATTTATTTAATTTATTTAAAAAAAAAAAAAAAAGTTTATTTTAATAGTACCTTAAATGACTATTCAGTTACATTTTTGTATTTAGATTTTTTATTTCAAAATCTTTTATATTTCTTTTTTATAGTGCTGTCAAACAATTAATCGCATCCAAAATAAACGTTTTTGTTTACATAACATATGTGTGTGTGCTGTGTATATTTACACATGCATGTATATATTTCAGAAAAATATGTTATGTTTATATATTAAATATATTTATTTATAATATAAATTATATGAATATAAATACAGACATGTAAAAATGTTCTAAATACAGTATATGCTGTGTGTGTGTGTATTTATATACACATAATAAATATAGACAGAGCACACACACATAAATCATGCAAACAAAAACTTTTATTTTGCATGCGATTAATCGTTTTACAGCACTAATTTTTTATAATTCCACATTATGATTTTATTTGTTTTAAGTAACTTTTTTATTTCGTTTTTTTTTTTATGATTTTAGTTGTTTTTAGCAAGCGTTTTATTTATTTAGATTTTTTTATTTAAAAATTGTTTGTTTTAATTTTATATGATGATTTGTTTTGTTTCTAGTAAGTATTATATTTATTCTCAGAGTAATATGTACAGTAAAATGCAACTCAAAGGTCTTCATGAAGGGCTGAAGAGCAAATGCACAGCGGCAGTGATGCTGGTGAAAACGCAGCGTTTCTTCAGTAATCAGGTTTGTAGCCTGATCCTCCGCAGCGATCGGTGTGAAAGATTAGCGGACTCTTCCCGGATAAGCGCTTGCTCCGATGCAGCTGTAACCGCAAACCCAACACCAGACACCAGCAGTCTCTAAATATCACCTCAGCACGGCCTTTATTATCCTGATCGAGGCGTCGGGAGGGCAGGGGCCCTGTGGAGAACAGGTTTGAGTGGATTTTCTAAGTAAGAAGGTCTGTGGGAGGATAAGGAGAAGGGTGTGATGGGAAAGAGGTCAGGCTCTCTCTCTCTCAGCATCCTTCATTTTTCTCTCTCAGGTCAAACGTGTCTTGATTTTGGAGTTACATACTTTAGAAAGCATCTAGTCTCTTTTTAAATTAAATTGAAATAAATATAGTAATTGTACAAAATGCTGTATGTAAGGTTCAACAAAGTGGGGTCTACAAAAATAGCTAATTAATAAAATAATAATGTAAATAGAATAAAGATAAATCATTTTAAAATAAAAAGAAACTAAATAAACGTACTAAAAATTAATAAAATCATTAAAAAGTACAATTAAAATTAAAAAAAATTAAAAAATGCAAAATAAAACTATTACTGAAAATGAATAAAATCATTAAAAAGTAAAATTAAAACAAATAATTTTAAAATAAAAAATCTAAATGAACTAAAAATGAATAAAATCATACAGTAAAATGAAAAACAATTAAAAAATAAACTCACAAAAAATGAATGAAAAAATTAAAAGTAAAATAAATATAAAAAAAATAGAATTAAAATGAACCAATTTAAAATAAGAATTCAAAATAAAAAAGTACAAAAATTAATAAAATCCCCAAAAATAAAACAAATAATTATAAAGATTAAAAAATCTAAATAAAACACTTACTAAAATGTATAAAACCTTTTTTTTATCCGAAGAAATAAATAAATAAATAAATTTCTGAATAAATAAAAACAAAATAAAAATTAAACACTTATTTAAAAAGATATCTGAGATATCGTAATTGTATACCTGCATGTAATACGACTATTAACCAACATCAGAGAAGCGTGAACGTGAAAGTGTTGATAAATTATTGATATATTAACAACTTAATATTTTAGCTCGAAGGGGATCAGCAGACAAAAATGTTTTGGAATCCCTGAAGTAGTATGTGTTCAATAGTTCACTAAGACATGTCTAATGACCATTATAATAAAAACAAAATAAGCCCCAAGAAGCTGTGGTTTACAGTGAATTTATAACAGCTAAGGGGCGTTGTTAGGCACGACGTGAAGC